TGAGCCGGTGAGATTTGAACCGCTGAACTGCTGATCTAGCAGTAGCCTGCAGTGCTGCATTTAACCACTGCGCCACCTTGGCTCTAAATCGGCACAGGATATACAAATGTAGGTAGAAACAACTGTATCTGTATGATTTAGAATGGAGCATTTAGGATCCAAGAGATACGCTTAAGGCTCCAAATTTTCACATTTGACAAGCAACTTAATGATACCTTGAATTTTTAATGCTTTGTGATTGGCCAATCTGGCTGGTTGTTTCATTTATATCATATTTCCTGTGACAATACAAGGCAGAATATGTGTTTATTTCTTTCCTTCTAAGGAGCGAAGGCAAGATTGAGAAAAATAACTGGACAAGACAATCTTGATTTTAACTTTGCTTCTGAGAATCTGAAATTCTAATGATTACACCAGAACAGGTTCTTTACCAGCTACCATTTCACACAGACAACAGGAAATGTGCAGATAATACAGGCAGTATTTTGCTCAAACAGCAGGACTAATGTTGATAATTGGTGACTTGGCTATTCACAACCTAGGTTGAGGTTCCACCCAGAACCAATCAAAGTAGAAGACAGGAGAAACAAGTGGCTTGAGCTACAAACTCAAAAAAAAACAACAACTTCTGAATCAGAGCCACTGGGAGTTCAGCAGCATATACATTTAATAAATTATTTGTAGTTGGTTACACAGATGATGATAACTTAGACACGCACCATTTTTTTCTCTGGATCGCTAAGATGTTCTAATTCCATTTTCATGGTTAATAATATATACAGCATAGAAGGGAAAAAAATAAAAACCAAATCTAGGTGGTCAACAACACTAAAATTCAAATGTATTGCTATCGATTGTATATTACAAGTTAATTACGCAAATATATCTTCATTATAGTTACTCTTATGCAAAGTAGTAGTTAATTGGTCCTTTTGAAACAAAACTTTTAACAAATTCAATATTCTAGGATTACCAGTATATGAAGATTGATATGTCATAAAGAATTCATGTAGAGGAGAGAAGCAGGTGCCTCTCAAGATCTCTTGGGCTCCAATAACTCTAAAGTCTGCATATCTATGGTCTGGAAGTAATAGAAGGTTCTGAGGACTTCAGTTCTTCCAGCTCAAGCTTGTATATCTTTGAAAAAAGGAATTGAGAGGATTAATATAGCAAGTCTTCTGGTAAAAAAGCACCATTAAGTGGCTAGAACAACCACATTTTGACAATTATATCCAACTGGCTTACTTAGTGGAAAAAGGATTCTGTATATACTGCACTTAAAAAAGTAGATGTAGTTGTTGATTTACAACCGCAACTGAGCCCAAAATTTCTGTTGCTAAGCAAGGCAATTGTTAAGTGAGTTTTGGCCCATTTTATGACTTTTCTCACCACAGTTACTAAGTGAATCTTAACACAGTTGTTAATAACACGGTTGTTAACTAAAAGTGAAACTGGCTTCCCCATTGATTTTCTTGCAAAAGATGATCACATGGCCTTGGGACACAGCAGCTGTCACAAATAGGAACCAGTTGCCAAGCACCCAAATTTTGATCACATGACCCTGGGGATGCTGCAATGGTTGTGTGAAAAACAATCATAAGTCCATTTTTTCAATGCCGTTGCAATTTTGAACAATTACTAAATGAATGGTTGTAAATTGAGGACTATCTGTATTACAACTTTTAATTGTGTGTGTAATCTGATTTTCACTGTGACAGTATATTCAGCATCAATGATCGATCATTAGTTGTACTGATCCATTAGCTAAATTCAAAAAAGATGAGAGAAAGGATTATAGGAGGTGCTTATGACTCTTATCAGAGGTATATTATTTACTGCAAGAATTGCAATAGTTATCCACACAAGTTGTAAATGAACTGAAATGCATTACAGTATTAGAACATTAATATTTTCATCGTAGCTCTTGCCCAGCTTCACACAAATGTATGTTAAAAGTACTTTTGAAAACTCAAATCAATAGCTGCAGTAAAAAAAAGTTTAAAGAAGAAAAAAGTCAGAGTCTGCTTTTAATATCAAAATGCCATGACCGCAATCCAAGAGAGAATTAACTGTGCTTAGGTCCATTGAAATCATTAGGTTTATTCTTTGCTGCAACTGAGCTGAATTATGGCCCATTTATAATTCTAGATTCAGCAAATTTTGCTGATAATTTGTGATGACATCAGTTCTTTATGCTTCTTTATCCAATCTAAGTGGTATGACATTAATCAGTTTTAGCATTTAATGGACTTAGTTCAGAAATTAAAACATTTTTATTATATTCATTATATCCTTAATTTAACAAATGATAAATCTTTTTAGAGGCAAAGCAGCAAGAAAATCTGATGAAAAAGAAATCAAGCATGCCACTCCAGAAAGCAAGAAAAGACCCTGTGGAACACCAACTGCTTCTCTTAAAAGGTACAGTCTTAATAATGCATAATTTTCTTTTGCTTGAATTAAAATCACAATTTTCCAACATGAACAAGATAACAACAAATTATTTCAGTGTCTCATATGAGAAAACTGAAATGATTAAATTGTATTTGATGGATTTATTTTAAGGTGTTTTTTTTTTCTATTTTTATGTGCAGGAGTCTGTAAAATCAGTGTTAGTCTCAGATACGAATCTTACTTATTAAGTTTTCAAATGGAAAATTTTCTGGTGTTCCCACTTCTTTGCATGACCAAACAGGGAACTCCCAAGCTGAAAATATAAACCTGTTGGTTCTGGCAGAATTGTGTTATATTTGCATCTGCTACCATTTTTCCAATCACAGACAGAGAAATGATGATTGCTTGGCTTATTGTTCTAGTAACTTGGCTCTTAATAAACATTTCCTTAGCTCACATTTCTTAAGCAGTGTACAGAAACAGACTCAGTTTTCAGCAGTGTGCCCCGAAATTTAAATACCTGTTTGGAGAAGTTTTTGTATTGTTTCATTTTTATTTTTAGTAATCTTGCTTTCTCTCTTCTTTAGTGTTCTGGGACCTAGTTAGTATCAAAATCTGAAAAGCAAACGAATACATCCATTCCAACAATTTTCATAGTCACACTGTTCCATCAGCAAAAAATTGTGCAGATTTAAACAAATGATTTTAATTTTTTTCCACTCTCTGTCAGCTTAGTGGATTATGTAAACATGATGTAATTCAGTTTACTATAGAATTTAGCTAATTTGTTTATAATTAGATAAGAATTGATATCTATTAATGAAGATATTACAGTTTTGATGCTAATTTTATAAAATAATAGCACAATACAGTGAGAACTTATACAGGATGCATAGGATATATCCTATGTATCCTGCGTAATAATGTCTTCTGATTATTTTTTAATTATTACTATATTGCAAAAGATTGTTCCAAATATAATTGAAACCACAAAGGATGCTTCATCCTTCTTTTATAAGCAATTTTTATACTGAAAGTTGCACGTATATTAATTCTTCAATTGTTCTTCCACATGAAGGATAAAGCATACCTATAGCTTCAGAGATAAGGTGCTTGCTTAGCTTTGAAAAATTGTTCAAAGGGGGAGGGGAAGACTTTTGGAAAAGAACTCAATTTCCCAAATTCTTCAATCTACAACTATACTAAAAACAAAAAATCAAAACTGGAAATGTTTTAACATTTAGTTTGTTCATATCAGATGATAAACCAGTTTCAGTAATTTCATCTCACCATGTGGAACAGGATAATAATATTGATCTATCTTATACCGTACTTTCTTAACAGTGTTGCAGTTGAGTAATTCAGCAAAAGTATTTCACTTTATTGTTCAATTTAACATATTACACTGGGCAGTTAACAGGAAATAAAAACAAGATATATACCTTGGTGTTCAGGAGGAAATGATTCAACTGCATAAATAGTTTCTGATTAAATAGATGCTAGTTTCCTTTATGAATTTTATGCAATTAAAAATAATTTGTGAAATATGAAAGCAAGCATTTCTTTAAAACAGTGGAGGTTTTTTCCAGCTGCAAAAATCATATGTGACTATTTTAATGATATTTTTTTTAAAAAAACAGTTTTATTCTGACTTGAAAAACTGAAAAAAACTGTTTTAAAAAATGCTGCAATCATCAGTGGAACAACTTGTCTCCAAAACGTATGGGTGTTCCAACACTGGAAGTTTTTAAGAAGAGATTGGACAACCATTTGTCTGCAATGATATAGGGTTTGCTGCTTGAGAAGGAGATTGGACTAGAAGACCTTCAAGATCCCTTCCACCTCTGTTCTTCTGTTACTCATATTGTCAACTGTTGTGGAACACATTTCCAATCTTTTTCAATACATGCATAGGTCATCTTAGTGTGGCTTGCTTTAAATTTCTGTCTCTTAATAATTTCAAATTTATATACATGGATTGTGTTTGGATTAATATAGTTATCATTTCTAGCTGTGATTGTCCCTTTCTTGCTCCGCTTTTCCTTCTTTTTTGGTTTAGTAAACTTCCACTGAAAAGTGAAGAGGCAAGTGAAAGTTCTTCTGAGAGTGAAGAAGAGGATGAAGAGCCTGAACGCCATCAGGAAATTAACACTGATTTGCCATCAGAATATTGGCAGATTCAAAAATTAGTGAAATATATAAAGGTAAAAAATAATAATTTTGAGGAAAGACTGCAGAAGATCTCAAAGGATCTTCTGATTAAATTATAAATTCAAAATATTATTCCAGAATCTCTTCATTTTGTTTTTATTTCTCTAATCAGTTTGCATCCCACAATTCTTTTTGAACCTCTGTTGTAGTAGATCTGTAGAATACGATTTAATTTAGTCATAACAATACCCTTTCAGCCCAATATATTGCAAAGCAGATAGGTAGTGCAACCTATTATAAAGTGGCAAAATATTAAATATTCTACATTCCATGTTACTTATTTATTGAATTTATATAGACATCTATCTCAGTGAATTGTCTCCAGCATCCTTCAAAGTTGTGACATAAGAAAAAAAAGAGTAAAAATTTGACCTAACAGTAACAGTAATATGTGTCTGTGCATGAAGGTTTTGCAACAATTTGGAATTAGGGCTTTTTGATCGCCTGGTCAATTTTATTATTTTTTTCCACTTTGTTGGGATTTATTTATTGATAGGTCTATAAATTTAAGAGATCACTTATGGCTTTTGTTTTTATACACAGCTCCTTGCTGGGTTATATTTGTGCATATGAATCATGTTATAGAACATAGTACATAGAACAGAGTTGGAAGGGTCCTTGGAAGTCTTCTAGTCCAACCTCCTGTTCGTGTAAGAGACCCTATACTATTCCAGACACGTGGCTGGGCAGTCTCTTCGTAAAAGCCTCCAGTGAGGCTTTTACGTTTAGGGCCCCTACAACTTCTGAAGACAATGCATTAATTGTTCTCTCACAGCTAGAAAATTTCTAGGTTGCTTCTTTCCTTAATTGTTTCTGGTCTTTCCTTCTGATGCTTTGAAAAAATAGATTATAATTTTAAAAATAATGTTATTATAATTTTGAAAATAGTTATAATTTTGAAATTATCATATTTATGCAATAATATAATTCCAAAAGACTAATTGTGAAAGATTTAATCCTATTTTCATATTTGAGTCAAATGCCCCAAAGAAGCAGCTTGATTCTAATAGTTCTTCTTCTGATGTGGCTCTTCCAGTAACTGCAGGGATTCATATAGCCAGGCTAGGTACAAAAATCTTCATTCATTTATTTATAACATATAAAAGCAAAAAGAATATTTCCATAAAAATAAAGTTTACATCGCATCCATTTAATTGCTGTGATGGAAAACAAAACAATGTAAAAAAATAGCAAATCCTTTATTAGTTTCATTTTACTGAATTGTCCACAAGTCGCTTGTGAAAATGCTATAGAATAATTTCTATTAAATTTAAATAATATGACATATTTGGAAGACTGGAAAAACAGTAGACTTGTTCTCTCTGTGTGTTTATATAATTAATTCCAGAACACTTCTGCTTGAATATGAGAAATGCATTAAAATAGGATTGGATTTTGAGTAAAACATTATCTTGTATTAATAAGCTAGCAAATAACATACTGTGTACCCATGGGTGGTCATTTTGTCTTTTAATTTTTTTTAAATGAACCTTAATGCTTTTGCTTAATGTTTCAGTATTGTTTTAGATTGTTTTTATTTAGATTGTTTTTGGCTGTTCCATTGTAAATCACTCTGGGCATCATCAGAAGGAAAATTGGTATACAATTATTATTTTCACAACAATGTAAAATCATGACTGCCAATTCTGTAGCTAGTGTTGGCTTTCCTACACATTGTGTTCTTCCCAAGAGCCTAGGATATTATAATATATTAGCGTAGCATATGTAATCATCCAAGTAGTCTGGTCTTTTGCAACTGACAGATGAAAATGCACAGATTTTTCCAAATGCTGTCTAAAATGTTTTGATATAGCAATTAAAATAATAATATTATTATTAACAATCTCATATAAACTGAGAGACAAATTAATAATCTGCAAATGGACACAAATAAAAATGTACATTATGAAGAAAGATCACCTCCTTTTCCTCTATAAATACAATGCAATATATGTAATGATTTATTAGCTCCAAGAGAAAAATGGCAATAGTTGTAAGGTTTTTGGAGTTATTCAGTGTTTCTAATTAGGTGATGTATCACTGAAGCTTTCCAAAATAAATGTTTGCCACTTTTTATCTATTTGGATGAAGACTTTCACAATCAAAAGTAGAAGTGAATTGCTTTAGATTGACTTACAAAAAAAAGTAAAATAAAATATGAGACATCTCTTATATACGCCCATAAATGTCAACAGTTACAAAAGGCTTTTTAATTTGTTTCATACTTTTGTTGGATGATTTTTTTGAAATAATGTATGATGTTGCTGGATCAAATTAGTTACTCAGATAACAGCTGGAAAAGTGACTTATGGAAGGGTTGTATTAGAAAGAGTTATTTTTATGATCTACTAAAGATAGAAAATCATTGCTAATGAAAACTGTACAGGAAAAGAAAAACAAGAGCTGCTAGAAGGGAAAAATACATACAAGAATAGAAAAGACAAGTGATATATGATAAGAAATATGATTAATAATACACCGTCTGAACTGTACACTTAACCAAGCAATTGTAGCCACGTTGACCAAAAACCTAAACTTTTGGCACTGATATAACCTTACCCTTCCTTTGAACCATCATAATTCTCCTAATCTCCTACCTTATGCATACAAGAAACTAACTTGCTCATAGTTCCCAATCATCATCAGCAGCAGCATGTTTTTGTGATGAGAGGCGGAATAAAGGAAGGCCACTTGTTAAAAAACAAAACACCCAAAAGCATCTGTTTGGTGCATATAAAAATTTCAAGAGTGAAGTGATAATACACCAAAAAATTGCAATCACATATACAGCTGGCAGTATAAAAAATATAAATATAAGTAGGATGGTGAATTTCTACCATGACAGGAAAGAGCTGGAGGGAGAGAAGGATCACTTGCAAAGCTAGAGTATTTTAAAGGAATATCAGCTTTCTTCCAATTCAAATACATCCCCGCAGATTGAGAAACAAAAATGGCCCTCAAAAAGCCAGGCAACATCATGTGATCAGCTGCAAATTGCAAAACCTTCATACACAGAAGCCTGATATGGTTATTGTTAGGTCAAGATGTTACTTTGCTGTTCTTTTCGCTGTCACAACTTTGCAGGTGCTGGAGACATTTGGGCCCAGTCAATAGAAGAACTAAGTAGAGGCATGATATCTCACTATATCAAAAGAGAGCTTGTCTTAGGTAATAAAAAGGTGTCGTTTTTGAGGTACCATGGGCTTATGTTCTATTTACGCAGCTGGTAATGAAGGGGACTTCACAGTCTTACCCAGTGGAGGGATTCAAATAATTTAATAACCAGTTCTCTACCCTAATGATTTCTTCTAACAACCAGTTCACCAAACTGCTCAGAAAGTTAACAACCAGTTCTCCTGAAGTGGTGCGAACTGGCTGAATCCCACCACTGGTCTTAGCCCACTGCCCCCTACATTTGAAAGACAAACTATTAAGCAGCAGGTGCCGGCTAACCAAAGTATTACCATTTTCATGGACAGACCAAAAACCATGTAAACTACAATCCATAAAGTAGTAGCTAGATCTCTTTATCCATAGGTCTGCATTATGGACTCAATCTTTCATTTAACACTTACCTGCTAGCTACTCCAAAACCTGCATGCTGTCTTTTAGAAATTATTCACCTTGCTGAAATATATGAATAACACCCATTCTGTGACTTTAAGACGTTTGCTTGCTGATCTTGTTTATTCCCTGAAAGCATTGCTCCCCTCATATTTGAATGCTCTGTTCATATGGTTTAGTTTTTCTTTGGAAAATCTGTTGGCTTTACTGCAATTCAATTGCCCAATTTTTTATTCAAGCTCAGCTGCTTGTTGTTTTCTTGACAATCTGAAACAGTGATGGGTCTTCCCAGTTTAGTCTTGTTAAATGTCTTTCGCAGACATTATTTCAGGCCCAGCCATGACCCCACACCCACTTGTGGCAGCTGCAACTCTTGCCAGATACTAAAAGCAGAACTTCCCCAGATTCCTCTCTATTATCTGCTCTATTTGGAGAAGAATTCAGCACTTTCCTCTGGTGTTTGACATCAAGCAGAAACACGGCCAGGAAATGATGTGCCTTCCATACGTTCTGATCCTGGAGAGGGAGGGAAGGTGAAAGAAAAGAGGTTACTGTTAAAAGATCTATTCAGTGTAGCAGCCATGTTGACTGATGCAGTTTCTATATGCATGTCCTACAAGTTATGGGTAATGTATATTTTAATTGTTCCTGTAAAATGAAGAGTGGCAATGTGGATATTTATCTCCTTTCTAATATTCAGTTCTCTGTGATGACAAGGAAGAAAGTGGAAAAAAACAATCAAAGGAGAAAGCAGAATAATTCTGTGTTTTGCTTTTCCTCAAAGTCCATTGTGTCCTTTGAATGTTGGTCCCTTCTAACTTAAAAAAAAACAATATGGAATTGATGGATAGGCATAGTGAGGCTAGCCTTACTTATTTATAGTAGCTCTCATTTTTTTAAAACCAGGCTGAATGAGTTTATGGCTATTTTTATAAATAAAATCATTTTTGTTCACTCTGGGCTGGATGTTAATTTGGTAGAGGGGAGTGAGACAGCATCTTATGATGTAATTTACATTTCTTTTGCACAAGTATTTGAGTTCTCTGTAATTTGAAAGCTGCTATCTGTTGGCTAGACCCCACCTCTCCTCCCCTTCAAGGTGTTTAACAGGGTATAACCAGCTAACTCTAAGAGGTAATCAATGTGGTGGGGACTTTATTTTTTTTGAGGAAGAGAATAATTTTGTTTTGTTTGAAGGAGGAAGTAATCTCCTCCTTTAAAAGGTAATTCTTTAAGACATCTGTTTGCCTAGTCTCTAACTCTTCCCTTTGAAGCAAGCTTGCTATGAAGGCATTGGGAACTAGTTACAGAGGATTACAGAGGAAAACAATTACCTACATGATTCTCAATCAGGATTCAGCCCAAATCATGGGACATAAAACAGAATTTATTATTCTAGTTACAGGGGTGTCAAACTCACGTCATCACATTGGCATTAGGACATTCCCCCCCCCCCCCTTCATTAAACTGAGCATGGCCATGGTGAGTGCATGATGCATGCAGCCCATGGGCCGGGAGTTTGGCAGCCTTGCTCTAGTAGCTGACTTAGATAGGGGAATACATTGTTTGATCCTGTGAAATATCTCAACAGGAAGTACCCTAGATCATCTTCCAGGATTGGCAGTAGTGAACTGTCAACTGTATTACAATGATTCTGTGCTTCAGTCAGTGGTTCCTCAATCATATATCCTGGAGGAAAGTGTTCGAGTTCATGAAAGGCCTGTAAAGAGCCTGAAAAGAATCAGAACTCTTTCCCTTGTTTTTTAACCTCTTATAAAACCACTGGGAGAAATCATCTATCAGTTCAAGGTGATATGTTATTAATATTACTAGACTGATGACACTTACTTACATCTTGCTACATTGGGCCAAGCCAGCAATGCTCTGGAAGCTCAGAACTGGTGTCTTGAGGTTATAAGGATCTGAATTGGACAAAACCATTTCAGATTAAATCACATCGAAACAGATTTGCTTGTTTTCAGCAAGCATCTAGTAACATTGGATTATGTGCTAGATGACACGCTTTCTCTCTGTATAGAACTCTTGTCTTCTCTTTTCATAGAACTATATTTTGATAATTTTGAGCCGTTGGCTCCTGGTGGTCCCAGTGGTATTATTCACCCTTTGTATTTAACTTTTGGATTTTATCATTACATTTTTATTCATATGTGGCTGTATGTGTTTACCTAAAGACATCAGGATTGTAAAAATTGTATCAAAAAATAGGGGGAAAAGATTCAAAAAAGAAATAGCAATTAGGAACAAGATAGGCGATGTGTCAGGTGCTCCAACAGCAACATGGGTCAGTTTTCCAGTGGGATGTAACACTTGTGTAGACTCAGACTTTGCCTATATAAATAAATCTGCAGCTCTACAAAACTAAGAGGTCAGAAAGTCAGAATGTAAAGAAAATGCCTGAGAGAAGTTTGAGCAATAGTGCAAATCTACACTCTGAACCCAGTCTGGAATTTTTTCCCCGTATCATGCAATTTTGTTTTCATTCTTCATTTTTTTTAAGTGATGGTTTTAATTTGACGTTTGCTCCGTGTATTCTTTTGTTACTGAGACATACCAGGCTTGACGGTGTCAGTGCTTAATTAGCTCTTAAACAATACTTATTTTCCACGCATTACAGACATGTAATGTGAACATTATGGAATCTGTGATTTTTATCATGGTTATGATTTTCCACTGGCCCTGGTTATTTTAATCTCTGCGTTTCATTCACTGCCAGGCTATAACCCAAGAACTGCAGAGGATTCAGGAAATGGGACAAGAAGTTATTCCATAACTCTGTAATACTTCTCCATAACTCGTCACTAACAAGTTGCAGCTTGACCTGTGTTCTGTTAAACAAAATGAAAAGTTGGATCAGACAATGAATATTTAATAAGATATTATTCCTATTTTAAAAATCCACTATAAAACCATAACTGAAATAATTGTGCCTTTATTCTAGCAGGTAACACAAGCATATTCAATAAAGGGGACTAGATCATCACAAGCATATTCACCTGCTTAGATCAAAGTTATGTAGGGCAACTAAATGAGAAACTAATACACTCATAATTTTAATACAGTATATCTGACTAAATAGTGTATTTTGTTTCAATATAATAAAAGGAAGCTGAATTAAGTTACCTACAAAAAATGATTTGTAGGCAACAGGTAGCCACAAGTTAGATTTCAAGCAATAATCTAGATTTTTCAGATTCATCTGTAAGGCTAGCTTAAGACAATTTGACATTAAAATTGAAAAAATCTGGTAGTGCTGTAATAGGACTGCTTGGGAGGTTAGAATGTGAATGAACTGAAACAGTAGAATTATCTGCCAGGTTTTCTTGGCTTTAGTCCCCAATTTGTGTCAAATACCAAAGAACAGAGGAATATCTGTTTCTTTCTTGGGCTTTTAAAAATGGCAGATATTGTAAGGATAAACCAATGGTTTATAATGTATTCCTGCAAACATTTTGTATGTTTGATGCCCCCTTTTAATAGTCTTTGCCTGGCAAAAGTAAAATATGGCTCATTATGGAACTTGTTTTGTACTAGGGGTAGAAAGCTGAGGGCAATGTGGTTGGAAACAAGACATTTCATTTCTTTTTTGGATGGGATTTGGATGTTAGATAATACCCTGAACAGAATTCTGCAGGAGCCATATGGACTCCAAGGAGTCTGTGGAGCTTGTGAACTAGTCCCATTGTATTAACTGTCTGAGAAATTTCTGTAAGGAGAAACAGAGGCCTTTTTTTTTCTCTTTTCCCCTTTAGTTTGACTTTTTCAGAAGAAAAATGTGTAGGCCAGTTTTAGATTTGTAATTGTTCATTATTAACTAATGTTTGTGATCTTGTCATACACTTATCTACATTTATTTGTTTAGTGGAATCATTGTTATTGTTCCTTAAGCACAGTAATGAATGAAATGAAAAATGTTATAGATCTCTTCTCAGAAAGGTGGTTTTTCTTTACGTTACGGCGGTTACTTAATATAATTCTGAACTTCATCCATCATCTAAAAAGTGCCTAGAATTTTTTTCTCCAAGCGTGCCTTTAATTATTTTTTGAGTTTATATTCTCTTTTTATTTCAATTTGTGGATATTTGTGCTGAACCATCCTATAAGTGGAGCTAGATTTTTAGAAATAAAATCTGCCTTTAATTTAAAGCTTTAAAGTTAAATGTTGCAGTGCCATAGAACACATTTAGCATCCATCATACTATATTCAGTTTCAAAGGTTTTAACAACATGATGCAATTTTTGTGTACATTTAATAGAGTCTAACAGCTTCCATGTTGATTAAAATCTACCCTTGAAAACTTTCTCTAATAGCTACTAGGCAGAAAAATAATTGTTATGGTAATCAGCAGTAATGGTTATAATATAGCACAAATGTATGAGAATATGTGAAAAATATTTCATGGGTTTGTTTTAAAGTGTGTATGAAATAGTGGAAGCAATTTTTTGCATACAAATTTTGTATAAAACCCCCCAGATTCAGCCTTACAAACGTAAAATTAAAAGAAAGTTTCAAAAATTAGAATTGTATCTTTTCTTTAGTTTATTAAAATATGTCACTGATTTATCAGTGATAATTTAACAGAAATTGGCTTTTCTTCTATTTACTAGCAAATCCCACCAAATTAAAATATGCATATTGCCCTTATAATTTTTTCTGTATAATTTTTTTTCTTGGTGTTTCTGCTCAGTAAAACCTATAGTAAAACCTATTTTACCCTATATTCTATTGATGGTCTCATTTATAGGCAGGTAACCAGACGGCTACTGTAATTGCATTATGTTCAATGAGAGATTTCAACTTGTCTCACGAAACGTGCCAGTTGGCAATTAGAGATGTTGGAGGTCTCGAAGTGCTGATTAATTTACTTGATACTGAAGAAATCAAATGTAAGGTGAGTTAGTTGCATAGTAACCATTATTTTTAAGGATTCTACTAGCTTTTACACGGGGTGTTCATTTTGACTTCCAGATCCTTCTCTTTTTTTAAAAAGCCCTGTGACTATCACTCATCTTGTAACACTCTGTATTTTAACTGAAGCCTCATAAACAGAATAAAGTTGGAAGGGACCTTGAGGTCTTGTAGTCCAATCCCCTGCTTAAGCAGAAAACCCTACCGCACTTCAGACAAATGGTTATCTAATATCTTCTTAAAAACTTCCAGTATTGGAGTTTACAACTTCTAGAGGCAAGTTATTTCACCTGATTAATTGTTCTAACCATTAGGAAATGTCTTCTTAGTTCTAGGTTGCTTCTATCCTTGACTAGTTTCCACCCGTTGCTTCTTGTCCTGCCCTCAGAAACTTTGGAGAACAGCTTGACTCCCTCTTCTTTGTGGCAACCCCTGAGATATCAGAACACTGCTACTCAGTTCCTGCAGCCATTCTTCATACGTTTTAGCCTCCTAATCATCTTTGTTGTGCTTCTCTGCATTCTTTTTAGGATCTCAACATCTTTTTTACATGGTGGCAACCAAAACTGGATGCAGTATTACAAGTGTGGCGTTACCAAGGCATTATAAAGTGGCATTAACACTTCACATGAACTTGATTCTATCCTTCTGTTTATGCAGCCTAGAACTGTGTTGGCTTTTTTGACAGCTGCTGCACACTACTGGCTCATATTTAAATGGTTGTCCACTAGGACTCCAAGATCCCTCTCACAGTATAAAGAGTCTTAACATTTAAGTCATGGGGGAAATTTAAGGAATTAAAGAATTTATGCATGAATTACAGGAAAATTTTGAGAATCCTTCTGGCTTCCATGTAGAAATGGAAATCAAGATTTCTTTGGCTATTTCCTTTGTGCATCCTCACATAAACTTTCTTTAGAGGCTTTTGCCATCATATCGAGGAAACAAAAGAATTTCCTTTTCAGCCTTGTCACCACTTGTACTCATCCACATCACAGCCATGATTGATAGTAGCAATTTTCTATTTGGTGGCATGATAATACCTTCTTCTTATCCCATGAGTGAAACAATCATCCTTAGGAGTACTTAAATTTTAAAATAATATATTACACTTTAAATCATTACCATCCCGGCTCAGGTTCAAGGCGTATGAAATCTGTAATGCTTTGTTAGCCATAATCTCAAGAGGCAAGGTCAGCTAAGGAAACTTATAGGACTGCTTGGGCATGAGCCCACTCCCAATAATCTGTTCATTAACCAGCTCTTGCCACAGCTACTTCCCTTATAGGTTTTGCCCTTTTCACTAGTATTTCACTAGTAGTTCTTTTCATGCTTGTCACTGTTCCTTACTCTTACCTTTCACACCAACTTTTCTTCAGCTTTCTATAAGTTGGAACAAAGAAGAGCACTGCCAGTATTTCATTTTTATAAGAGAGGATGGGAGTTAATTTGTTTTCATATGTCCCTTACAATCACTGTTCCACTCTCCTCTCAAAACTAAGAGCATGGTCAGTTTCAATTCGTCAATTTCAGTTCTTTGGCAATATAACTTCTAGTCAATTCTATAGTTCCAACGAGCCTTGTGTCCTCTTTTCTGTTACTATTTCTGCGCTGGCATTGTTCCGTATTTTATATTATTCACTATTATTTTAAACTTGGGAGATGATCTAATGAGATAGGAGGAGTAGACAAGGATAAGATGCAGAAGAAAAGCAAAGTTCCAATCAGAATCTCTGTTTTCTCTGCTAGCTGGTGAAAGGGGAGAACAACAAAACCAGAGGAAAAAACAATCATCTTTCTTACAATGAATAGCACAACCCTCAATAGGAACAACACCACTTGATAATGATTTAGAGAGGGGCTGTAGAAGCAGAATATGATTTGCTACAGTGCTGCCATTGTTCGACTCCTGGATGGGTGGAAAGTAATAGAGGAAGACCTTTCATCTTCCTTCTTTTCCACTCTGTAATAAACTTGCATGGAACAAAGAAAGACAAGTAGGGTCTCCTGTGGCATGAAAATCTGCATATTACAGGTAGTCTTCAACTTACAACAGTTCATTTAATGACTATTCAAAGTTACAATGACAGTGAAAAAAGTAACATGACTTTCCTTCACAGTTATGACCTTTGCAGCGTCCCCATGATTATGTAATCCAAATTCAAATGTTTGGCAACTGGTTCATATTTATGATGGTGACAGTGTCCCAAGGTTATGGGATCACCTTTTGCAACCTTCTGATGAGTAAAGTCAATGGGGAAGCCAGATTCACTTAACAACTGAATTACTATCTTATCAACTGCAGTGATTCACCTAAAAACTGTGGCAAGAAAGGTCGTAAAATGGGACAAAACTCACTTAACAAATGTCTCAGAAAGACATTCAACTGTGGTTGTAAATAGAGGATTACCTGTATTAAAACTTTTTTTTTAAAGTTAGCCTGATCTCTAAAAGAAAACAATCCATAACTATGCATTTTTTCCCATTAGATTGGTTCATTAAAAATCCTGAAGGAAATTAGTCAAAATGCTCAGATAAGACGTACAATTGCTGATCTTGGAGGACTGCAGATCATGGTTAATATACTTGATTCTCTAGATCAAGATTTGAAGTGTTTGGCTGCTGAAACAATAGCTAATGTAGCTAGGTTCAAACGAGCCCGAAGAACAGTCCGTCAATATGGTGGAATCAAGAGACTGGTAAATTGCTTTTATACTCATATAAGTTTTGCTAATCAGATTTCATCTTAATTGTGTCTTTTTTCATCTAACAGTAATGTGGAATTAAATGTACACCAATGTGGTCAAATAATTTCCTTTTCCATGTGACAGAAAAGTCACTGCTTTTTTTAAAACGGACACCTCATGTTATCATTCTGCTGAACATCTAATGCCACAGCACTGTATTATGTCTAAAGATACTTACACGTGTGGTAGGCTGCAATACTATTATCCTTCTCATCTATTGCCTTCTACTATTGGTATCTTATGATTATATTATTTTGTTGTTGGTATGTAAACCCAGATCCTTATGCACTGGAGACAAATTCTTAGTGTGTCCAATCACACTTAGCCAATAAAGAATATTCTATTCTATTCCATTCCGCACCACACCACTCCACCCCATAACCTCCTATACTCTACCCTATAGCAGATATTAGCAGAGCTGTGGTGGCATTGTGATTAGAATGCAGTATTGCAGGCTACTTCTGCCAACTGCCAGTTCGGTTCTCTTCAGTTCAAGATTGACTAAAACTTCCAGCCTTCCAAGGTCAGTAAAATGAGGACCCAAATTATTGGGGGCTATATGCTAACTCAGTAAACAGCTTAGAGGGGGCTGTAAAGCAGAATATAACTATAAGTGTTATTGCTATTGCTATGTTTGTATAGCCTTCCTTTAAAAGAAAATGAACAATTCCCAATCACAACAACAATTATTTTTTAAATGAACAATAACAGAAGCATCTCTCTGAAATTCTAAATATTCTGTTTAAACTGACAAGATCATAATAGCATTTCAGATTACATATATCTCCTGAAATAAAGATAGTTTTGCTTACATTCTAAACCAACTGAAAAGTGTTTTAGCAGGCATTCCTTCCAGCAGTTTGGAATAACTGATTAAAAGCTTACTGAATATACTTCTCACTTAACTGGGAGATGCAGGAGGGTTTTTCACGATTATATAAATGGAAACATTCCCAAACTTACCCATTTTTTTATAGTTCGAGTAGTAAGAGAATCCAGGGGTAAACCGCTTTTTTGTGGCATTGAAGAGTTCTCTCTGTTTTACCACAACTGCTGAAAATCACCAGGGCATTACTTGCTATTTTGAAGCAGAATACAAACAAAAACTCTAAAATAGACCAAAGATATTTTTTTTAAACCCAACAACCCCACAACTCAACAAAAAGTATAAATTTCTGATTTTAATCCATGTGTGACATATACCAAAAAAATTGCATCTTTGACCCATTCACAGTGTCGCTTTGTCTTTCCTCAAAATCTCACACGGGAAGTGTCCTCCCCCTGCTCTACCAGAAAGTTTGGTCTCTACAACCAAAAACCTATAGGCAGCAAGAGCTAAAACAGGAGTAAGATATTTCCTTTCGTTTCTAGAACAAGGAGTAATGGTATCTTTCAGCACCAGGATGGCATATTTGATTAGTGCACATCATCATTTCTTGCCAGGTTGGGTTGTTAGACTGTTCTGCAAGTCTCAATCAGCTTCAGGGAAAGGAAATTGAAGTAGCACGCTGTGGGGCTTTGGCACTATGGAGCTGCAGCAAGAGTTCTAGGAATAAAGAAGCAATCCGTAAAGCTGGAGGCATCCCCCTGCTGGCTCAGTTACTGAAGTCTCCTCATTCAAATATGTTAATACCTGTAGTAGGAACTTTGCAAGAGTGTGCCTCTGAGGTAAGCAACATCTCTACACCTGCAAAATTAAATGACTATCTTTCGGAGACCAAATAGAAATCAAAAATAGACAATGACTTTAAATTTCAGGTGCATATGAAACAATATTCTGCCTGTCTATCCATTCACCCATCTATATACTAACCAATCAAAGTGATATAATTGACTACAACATAAGGTAGTTTCAGTGAACTCCTATAATTATATTCCATTATATTTTAATTCTTTAAATTAATACAAATTATGGTATTTACCTGAAAGGAATATGAGTTATCATTTCCAAATAATTACAAATAGAAAAAATTGATTTGTATGTTTGTGTGTGTGTGCATGCAGGGCTGGGGGATGTAGCAGTCACTCTTAGGTGACAAGCTAATCAGTCAATTCGTATGGCAACCAACAGATTCACACTTAGTTGATTAAAAAGAAGTGGACCCTGCAGTTGTGGGAAAATGCTGGAAGGGAAAAGATCACTATCGCAAAGATCTTATCTCCAGATTTTGTAATTATTCCCTTTCTATCTGAGCAATAACAAAATATTGATATACCAATATAGGTGCAAGTGGAAGATCATGTAGTTTTGAAATTGGGTTGTCTTATTTTATAATTATTAATTGTATCAATTTTTTTGCCCAGTACTGCTTTTTTTTAAAGAGAAGTTTCTGACCAATGTATCCAGATAGTCTTCGGCTTAGAACAGTTCATTTAGTATTCAAAGTTACAACGGCACTGAAAAGAGTGACTTATGACCATTGTTTACAGTTATGACCTTTCCAGCATCCTCATGATCATGTGATCAAAATTCAGATGCTTGGCAATTGGTTCTTATTTATGACTGTTGCTGTGTCCCAGGGTTATGTGATCACCTTTTGCGACCTTCTGACATGCAAGTCAATAGAGAAGCTGGATATACTTAACAACCAGGCTACTAATTTACTAACTGCAGTGGTTCTCTTAACAACTCTTGGAAGAAAAGCCATAAAATGGGCAAAATTCACTTCACAAATATCTCACTTAACAACAGAAATTGTGGCCTCAATTGTGGTCATAAGTTGATGACTACCTGTATTAAACATTCTTATACACAGTTATATAGTAAGAAGACCAGAGTTGGGTTGCTCCTGGTTCGGCCTGGTTCAACCTGGTAGTGGTAGCAACGGGAGAATCCGCCCACTCACTTGGGCGCCTCTTTGCATACACAGAAGCGTTAGGAAAGAGAGAGAGCGCATGAGTGAGCCGGTAGTAAAACTGGTACAAACCCAACACTGAGGGAGACAGATAGACATATAAACTCCCTATTGGTTTTGACAGAAATTGTCAACCTTAACTCACAAGAAAACTTTGGAACTTTGCAATATAGAGGAATATTTGCTGTTTTATAATCTTCTCTTATTGATTTTCATTGTTAGAGGGGAGGGGAAATGGCAGAGACAAAAAAAGCATTTAACTTCGTCCACATTGATAATTTATTTTCTGAAGGTCTTTTCAAACCCCTTTTTAATGGGTGTTTATTTGTAGCCCAGCTACAGACTAGCAATCAAACATGAGAAAATGATTGAAAATCTTGTGAAAAATCTGAACAGTGACAAGGAAGAATTGCAAATGCATTGTGCCAGTGCAATCTTTAAGGTAAGCATTCATCTTCTGAGACAAAAAAGGTTCTCTGCACACTATTTCTCTTTGAAAAAAATAATGGGCAAACTGGATAATTATCTAAGAAAAAAATGGTGTGACTACTTCAACTGTTCTTTATCACAAAAACTGATAGTTACAAATCCTCTAGCATAAGTATAGCCTTATATTTACAAAGTTCCTGTTGGACTACAGTTTTCTAAGAGTGTTCTAAAAGTGCTTAATTTGTCAGGATCATCCCCATGAAGTTGCATAGAGGGCTCTACACCTGCAATGGAAAATGCAGTCTTGAATAACTTTGTTTACCATCCTCTATCAGCTCTGAATGGGGACACGGGGCTCAGTGGCTAAGACACTGAGCTTGTCGATCAGAAAGGTCAGCAGTTCGGCGATTTGAATCCCTAGCACCACGTAATGGAGTGAGTTTCCGTTACTTGCTGCAGCTTCTGCCATCCTAGCAGTTCGAAAGCATGTAAAAATGCAAGTAGAAAAATAGAGATCATCTTTGGTGGGAAGGTAACAGCGTTCTGTGCACCTCTGGAGATGTCTTCGGACAGTGCTGGCTCTTTGGCTTTGAAATAGAGATGAATATCGCCCCCTAGAGTTGAGAACGACTAGCACATATGTGTGAGGGGAAGCTTTACCTTTACAGTTCTGATGAATCCAACTCTGACACCATGAAACTTTCAAAGGAAAATGATAATAAAAGCTTTAGATCCAAAGGAAAAATATCCCTTTAACTTGGATAGTATTATCTCCAAACCCACCCCCACAAATTAACAATTTAAAAAGGGTGGTTATTATTCTTGCTACGTCATTCTATAGTTATTACTATTGCTTTGTAAATAGCTTGCTGTGTCTTTCCTACTTATCTTCATTCATATGCTTGCTTCTTATTTATTTATTTATGAAATATATATGGCTACCATTTCCTATTGGAAAATTGGGATTTTGAACAAAAATAAAAACACCATAGACCCACAGAGAGTTTTAAACCATTAAAGGAAAAAAGATAATACTGAGGCCCCAATGAAACTATATCCATGGGTCAACCATATCATGCCAGCCTCATCAACATCCTGGCTCCAGTATCTGGAGGAAAAACCATTGTTTTTCTGAAGGCCAGTAATGTCAGGCCATCCATATTTCTTGATTAAAACTGTACTTGCCAATGTTAATTTTGAGACTTTTCACTGGAGTGATGAAGAAATGGGCTTGGGATCTATTTATTTTAATAGGATTTAAGCCTATACTGTTTCTTTGCATCCTCCTAATTTAATTTAGGAATCTAAATATTGCTTCTAGGATTTTTAAATTTAGTTCATTTAAATCGTAGTGCTGTCTCTAAAAAGAACAGAGTAGGGGTTGGTCTGGATTTAAAACGTGTTTTCAATGTATCTTTGTATTTATATTTTCGTTTGTTTGTTTGTTTTTACATAGTGTGCTGAAGATCAAGAGACTCGTGACCTCGTTAGGCAACATGGAGGCCTGAAACCTCTTGCTACTTTAGTTGCTAATTCTGGAAATAAAGAACTTCTGGCAGCAGTGACAGGAGCAATCTGGAAATGTGCAATCAGCAAAGAAAATGTGACAAAGTACTTGCAATATTTGTTGCCTTAAATATATACAGTATATTGTAGTTAGCACCTCCTGCTTATAACCAACCATAAGAATTTAGAAACTATTAAGATTTAATTGTTATGTGTGAATAACGTCTGGAATATTTAGGTGTTCTGTGAACGCTTTAGAAGAGGCTCTATCTAACTGTCATACTGAAACTTAAAACATGATGAAATATTTATTGGATTAGTTGGCAATCTAATAATGCATGTTTAAGCCAACATTTACTTCTCTAGAATACCTGTAGTTATCATCGACTCTATTCTCTATCTTAATGTCAAACTAGAGATATTGGACAAAAAATTAGTTTTTGTGGCATGTTGGGTAAGGATAATGGGAAACACAGTCTAATCCATTTTGCAGATCACTAAATTGAGGAAGGATATAAGAGCTAGTGGTATCTGCAAGCAATGACAGGTCTGCTTTTTATGCAATTATGTGCAGTATTGCGATACAAATATGAAAGAGTGGAATTTGTGCCATGGGGCATGATGGACAGTTTGGCATCATAATAGATAGAAACAGATGTGCCTGGAAGTTAGAGAATTACAAGTTGTGATGTTAAAGCAAGCAGCAAACCCTTGTAAAATAAGCCATATCAGAAGTAATTATGGCAGTAATGTCAAGATTTGGCTGAAATCAGTTTGTGTATATATGTATTGCCAGATTCAAATCTGTTTAGCAATCTTGAATTCCATGATTCCTAATTATAAGACATAGTCATGATTCAGAATTATAAAATTCTGGAAAATACAGAAAGTACAAAACCTACTAAATTTATTTATTTATAAACTTAATTCCTATTGTATTGTAGAATGATAATAGTTCATCTACCATTAAACCATCCAAAATATGAGACAGGGATAATGAAATACAAATTCTTTGAATTTAATTATACTTTGAGTAAGTCTGTTGACAAATATTATACTTATATTTAGTCATGAAACTTTGATTCTTAGATTCCGGGAATACAAAGCCATAGAAGCTTTGGTTGGCTTGCTAACAGATCAGCCAGAAGAAGTTCTTATAAATGTGGTAGGTGCCCTTGGTGAATGTTGTCAGGAACAAGCCAATCGGACCATTATCCGTAGATGTGGTGGAATCCCATCTCTTGTTGCCTTACTCACTGGAACCAATCAAGCTCTTCTTGTGAATGTGACTAAAGCCGTGGGATCTTGCGCAGTTGAACCAGAAAATATGTCGTAAGTTTTTCTCTTTAGTATATATTATATGCACATTACCATAGATTTCACAATTAAAATTAATGCTATGAAAGTCATGTCATAAATAAAAATTACACTTAGCAAATATTTAGTATATTTGAAATAAAGGATTTCAGATAAATAATGTTTGAAATATTTCAATAACTAAAATATTTATAATTATATTGAATTATGATTCTATTAAATTAAATATAATTATTATATTGGATTAAAATTAAACTATAAATTAAGTTGCATAATATTTTTGAGCCTCCTTTTTCTGTATTCATTGATGATTTTATGGTGGGCTGAATATGAAATTATCTTTCTTGCTTTGAATATGGTATTAGCAGAATGCAGTCAATGGAATTTTAAATCATGATTATTACTTATATGGGAGCATCAAATGCCACAGGTTGATAATGCCATCATGTTGTTTCAAAGTCTTTTCTAAAATGACATTCTAAGGAATAACTGCTTCTGGTTTCAGAAACATTACTAGAGCTGTAGGATTTTGCACAGTTTTTTGGATTTTGAACTTTTATGTTAAATATTACTTAATATAGGGGTTGATACTTTGTAGTCTTAAGATCACAAAGAGACCTGGATATAATGCAGTTAATTTCAGAAGCTTTTTATAAGAGTGTTTTCCAATATTGCTGTAACCAGTCTATCCCTCTTTTGGAGTCTTCTCTAAGGGGGCAAAAGATAATCAAAATAAGTTATCTTTGACAGTGTTTTGTGTATGCAAGAGGGAATGAGAATGTAGATGGTCATCTTACCAATTCTGGATCATGGTGGCTTTTCAGCTCCACCATTCATTTATATGTGTTGTGATGGAATGAAGCCACAATGACCTAAAACAGGTTGTGTGTCCTTTCCTTAATAAAATCCTAAAAACTACCGTAAATACGTTGCTTTTAAAGGAAAGATTTGGACAGGTCAATAATGCTCTATTTTATATTCTATTTTATTTTATGATATTAATATGAGATCATTTCAATTATAGTGATATCAAGTCTCAATTTTAAAAATACTGAGTAGCTCATACTATTTTTCAAAACTCTATATTCTTTGTATTCAGTTAGAAGAATGGGATCATTCTGGTAATACGTATTTCAAAATACCACATAACTATTTAGAAATAACTATATAGCAACTTCCAAAGTTTAAATAGTTTAAGGCTGATAAGCACATTAATGATCCTACGCTTTTCTCCTGAGGCAGACCATCAGGCTCATTTAGAACAATTTCACTTCTGAAGTTTGAGGTATAAAGTTGGATTTCTGGATGGGATTCCAGGTTCTTCTGAGTACAAACTGTATTCTTCACCAAGAAATTGTCATTCCTTCTTTGATAATATCTAAATCCTAACTCCCCAAAACAATTTATATTTCTTTCAAGATGCTTTAGGACAAAATATGTTTTTCCTGCTTCTGGCCTTCTAGCCTTTTAAAAATCTTTCACATAGTTGGCATTATAAGAGTTTTCCTGAGGTATTTAAACATTTAGTAGCTATGCATGGAAACTAAAAAAATATCAAACCACATTTTCTTTTTTTTTCTTCCCACATTGCACTCTTCTGCATAAACCAAGTTATTCGTTTTTGACTTTTATAATGTAAAACTTAGATCTGAGATTTAAGCATTTCCCTTTTGGATAAATGTTTCATTAAAAGCTTCAAGTAATATTTTGCTTTATGTGGAAAGTCTTGACAAGGGCATGCAATAGTATAGCTCTTTGCTTCTATACAACCAAGATCAAATGAATATAGCCCTTGTTTCCTCCCACTGTTTTATTTTGCCTCACTTGCTTTTCTTAGTGCAGTGATTTAATTTCCTTGAAAGCACCATTTGTTTTCATGCTTTGGCTGTCACCCAGTGGCAAGATAGGGCAGAAATGTAAATATGGCATAGAATGAATGAAGAAAGTTCAATGGAAGAAAGATATGCATATAATTAATCATTATTATATTATATCTTATAAATAATGGTTAGTTCACATGTAATTTTTGTATTAAGTGAATGCTAGTGATAGGGTCATAAACTGACAATGGAATCCAAACAACATATTCTAGAGCAATAGCAATAACACGCTGCTTGGAGGCTACTGCTTTTGTCCCCAGTTTTGTACTAGAATAGACAACCCATGACCTGCTTGGTTATAATTTTAGAAATATTTTCTTACCCAGTTCCTCAATATCTTCAACAATGGCAGTGCTTCTAATGTACTGCTTTCACTAAAAAAGTTCTTAAAGATTCTGAAAGATATTCAGACATGTATTGATCTTAAAAATAGCTCATGTTGAACTGTATAGGATAGTGCTTCAGGAGTTGATTCCAAAATTTTTAAATGATACTTTGAATTATATCATAAAATGGTTATGATAAGTTTAATGTCCTGCAATGTTTTATAAAATTTGCAGTATTACAATTCGTTGGGAGTCCTTGATTTTGGATGCATTCTGTAAGCCCATTTGAGGTAGTCAAAAACATTTTGCCCCCTGATGTACTGTTTGCCCAGGTAAAGGTTATAGGCATAAGAATTTAGTGAATAAAAAGAATATCAAAGCATGATGGTAAATCCAAATAAATACCTAAAATTGTGGTCTGAATGGTGGTAAATCCAGATAAATACCTAAAATTGTGGTCTGAATGGTGGTGAATCCAAATAAATACCTAAAACTATGATCTGAAAGATATCACTTTATTTAAGCGAAAGGAAAGGAACTGTTGATCATTTGAGTGGAATCAAATTATTCTTGAATTAAAGTATGCATCACTCCTTAGTTTATTTTGTTTTTCCAATTTAATTCTTCAATGCAAGAACATTGCTTAATGCTACCTCCTCCTCCCATCCACCTCTAATGGTAGCTGAAACTTTAAGCAAAAGGAACAGCAAAGAACATACAAAGGAGAATATTCAAACATCCTTCTAAGTATAGTTTGTGTCATCAAGAGGAAATGGGTTAGCTATGTTTATCATGTTCTCAGAGGCCATACTCCAGATTCTCTCTCATGCTGTGATGTAGCAAATGGTTATCAAGGAGTAGGCCTTCTTGGTGGTATTCCTTCAGTTTGAAATGGCTTCCCAAAGGGTGTGTCTGGCTCTTCATTATCCTTCTGGTTGAAGGCAAATATATTTTATCTCATGCTGCTAATATATTAAGTTTTATTACTATACTGACACAAGGGATTTTTTTTATAATCAGTCTGTGTCTAGGTATGTTGTGTTAACATATGGTTAATATGCAACAACAACAATAACAATAATAATATATTATATAATAAAATATATTTAATAATAATAACAACAACAGCAGCAGCAGCAACAGCTTATATCCTCCGACATTACCTTAATAGTTCGGTCCTTGGTTAGGAATCGAGCTGTTGAGCTCCCAATCAGCCCCAAAGGCTGTGAATCTCACCAAAAATTTAACGACAACAACAACAATAATAATATGGCTTAGAGAAATGTACTACAACAGCAATAAATCAGGGTAAAATCGCGAACAGCAATGGAATTGAAATGATGAATGGCCAAATCATCAGTCACCATCAGATGAAGCACTCAACTATCTGGGCATTTTACAGTTGGATAACACCACACATAGATAAATTAAATTTTTTATTAATAAAGAATACACCCGAAGAGTGAGAAAAGAAAAAAAATGAATGGTGGAAACACCATCAAAGCAATCAATACCTGGGATCATTAACTGAGGACAAGCTGAACTAGGCAGTTTGAGCCACAAAACAAGAAATATAATGATTAGTTATATTGATTGATATGAATGGTGTGGTGACCTAGTGGTAAAGACTCACATTTGGAAGGTTGAGAGCTCAATCCTAGATAGTGGCATATGTTTCTTTCCTAGAGTGCAAAGAAAAAAAGTATCTGCTACTAACTGCATGGCATCAGGAAGGGCATCTGGCCAGTAAATGCTCAGATCCATCCAGTCTCTCTGACTCTATACCAAATTAAGGGATTTTAGGGTTGTAAAAAAGGGAGTTATATTGATTGATATATCTGCCTTGCAGCAATGGAGGCAGAGGTTTACTTCAAATTAAACAGTCTGTCCAGAAGAAACACATGCGTTGGCTTTTACATAAAAACAGCCGAGAACAAGCATTGATTCAAAAAATGAAATTTATTAAATGTGCAGGAAACAAAATTTGAATTTCAAAATAAACTAATAAAGCCACAAATAGAATGCTGGCAAGGAAAAGTATTATGTGATCAATTTCTAAAAAAAATAAAGGGAAAGCAGATAAAGATGAAAATTGATAACAGCTTACAACTGGAACATTAAAAAAAAAAGAAACTGAAGACTTGATTTTGCCTGTTCAAACTATTCAAACTAATGCAATCAAGCTCAGAGCTGAAAAATAATCAAACGATTCAAGGTACAAATGTTGCAAAAAACCTAGAAGAAATATTGCATTATTTGCTTAGGCCATGCAAGAGGATCACAGAAAGTAATTATAAACCACAATATAATACAGCCACCAAAATTTACTGGAACATCTATAAAAATTATATTCCAGTAATGAAAAATTGGTGTAAACATAGAGTTGAAAAAGTATTCGGAAATGAGCAAGTTACAATATTGTGGGATTTTCAAATACAAAATGATAAAATCTTGGCTCATAACGACAAGCAATGGCATGACAAAGTAGCAACAAAAGTGCATTGGAAGACGTATAAGAAATGCCATTTGTCTGCAAGCAAGAACTGGTGGGATCATAAAATAGAAAAAGTCATACAAAATGAAAAAGCTACAGCCGAGCTGGCAGTTGAGTTCCCCAGACTTATGATACTGGGGGACTTCAATTTGCCTTTGCTTGGTGAACACTCTGATGGAGCACAGGAGTTCATGGCTTCCATGACAGCCATGGGCTTGACCCAAGTAATCCAGGGTCCGACTCACTCAGCGGGTCACACACTCGACCTCGTATTCCTCTCGGAGCAGTGGAGTTGTGATCTTTGTCTGAGGGGTA